ACAGAAACAAAACTGCAAAACTATTTCTAAGTCTAATTTCTTCCCAAATCCCAAATGTGCTAATGGATGGTAATGTCTTTCATCCATATGTAGGTACTTTAAAGATACAACCAAAGAATATGTGTCCCTCATATTATCTACAAAGAGGCAGAAATTTGACAGTACAAGGGGGTATCATAAAGTAATAATTATCACCTGGAAGTTTTTATAGTATATTGATGAAATTTTGTCAATGTCATCATCACCAAGTTACTTTTTCTTTTCCCCAAAATGAAAAATCCATTGCAGGATCACCAATTTGACAACACAGATGACATCATTCATGAAATGGAAGAGTGGTTTAAGGTGCAATCTGAGACTTCTACAGTAATGGCATTCGGAGGGTCAAGAAATGCTGGGGAAAATGTGTAAATTAACAACTACAAATCAAAACAAACTTTCTGTCAATAAAGGTGGTAATTAAAACTTTATGATACCCCTTCATATAGCAGTGCATCTTCCTTAAGAGGTAGCAGCAATTTGGGTGTGTGGCTCCTGTAGTAAAAGAAATTGCTAAACCAGATCCTAGCTACTAATGCTGCTCAGCCTCCCAAGTTTCAGCCAGGAAGGATGCACACGCCTATTTGTGATTTCAGTCATCAGGAAAGCTGCAAAGGATCTCTATAGTAAAGCTTAACAGTATTGTAAAAATCAGTTTACAGTTGGCTTTATGGTAATCTGTCACCCTTCCGATATAGTTTACTTTCTCACAAACCCTTATTTGTTCATTAGTTTATTCCAGCTTTTTCAGTAAACCATTTGATCTAGCTTCACACAATAGGCAAATAAGTGCTTTCACAGTGTTGAACTATGGAATATTTCTCTTAAGTGGCACGCTATATGCTTCCATCACTGGGGGGGGGGGGGGATATATCCTGTTCACTATATACAGGTATACACATCATTGTATTGGGAATGGAACACTTTTAATAGTCTGGGGACTCTTTTCAAGGGCTAAATTTCAAAGTTTTTATTTTGAATTTATAATTTTTATTTATTATGACTTTTCACTTTCTGTATGATTGTCCATCCTAATATATGCTCAGTTTTCAGAGTGGCACTCCTTATATAGCCAAAGTACCATCATCTACTCACAAGAGAAAGGTATCAACAGGGTTGAAACAAACCAGAGATTTCCAGAAGTACGAAATACCTTGAGAGTTTAAAAAAAGCTAAGTGGGGAAAATCCAAAACCATCCCAGTGACGACTGAGCACACTTGCCCTACACACAATATTGACTGCAGGAGGGAGGAAAATGTAAAGCCAGATAGAAAATATAAAGAATAAAACTGAATATCTTCAGAGAGAGCATGGATGGTACGGTGAACCCACTGAATAGGAGCATTCTGCACTTCAACATTTTATTGCTGTTCCTGCATGCTTGGAGGGCCATACATATGAGCCCTCATGGTATACTGGTTTCAGTGTTGGACTAGGACTCTGGAGACAACAGTTTGAATCCCAGCTTGGCCATATAAACCCACTGGGTGACCTTGGGCAAGTCATACACTCTCAGCCTCAGAGGATTGCAATGGCAAAGCTCCTCTGAAGAACCGTGTCAAGAAGACTCCATGATAGGTTTGCCTTAAGATAGGATCGCCATAAATTGGAAATGACTTGAAGGCACATAACAACAACAGCAACAACTTGCATACTTGGGCCTGTCCAAACTATTTTTTTTAAAAAATCAAGATATGTCACTGCAAAAAGCCTCATCCACTGGAACTTCCTAGAAAAAAAAACATTTTTTAATCCACTTAGCGATCTCTAGTTGGGGATGGGAGGGAAGATGAAAGAAGTTGGGTAGGCAGTTTGATCGATACATATTCAGATTTCATAATGCTATAGAGAATTGGACAATGAAATCTTTACTGTGTGTTTGTCCACTATGGGCTCTGGAGAATTGGATGGACATGCCTTCTTTTTTCAAAGAACAGTGTTGCAAAATTTCTATTTCTCTAGCACAGGGGTAGGCCACCTTTTTGAGCTGGGGGCCGGGTTGCTGTCCCTCAGACAATTTTGGGCCAAAGTACCAAAAATAAATAAATAAATTAAAAATATTTAAAAAAAAAATTAAATAAAAATTAAAAAAATATGCATGCACACTCTCTCAGCCCCAGAAAAGCCATGGCAAAAACCCTGTGGAGATTTTGCCAAGAAAACCCCAAGAATAAGTAACAACAACAATATCATCATGGCAGGGGGCGGTGGCGGTGGCGGCGGCAGGACTGGTCTAAGGCCAGTCCAAACGCCTTGGGGGGGGCGCATCCGGCCCCTGGGCCTTAGGTTGCTTACCCCTGCACTAGCATAAACACCTTGTGGTTCCCCCTCCCATTGAGAGTACAAGAAAGATTCAAAACTATCTGGACTGCTTGAAAAATTGTGGGTTCCCCCCCCCTGCAGTCAATTCCTGAAATAAAAAGAACCCATCTTTTAGGTAGGAATGGAATAGATCCCCCCTCCATCCCAGAACTTCTCTGGATATCCCATGAGAAGGAAAACATCTTTGTTATTGTTTTTAAACTCTGACAACTTGAACAATAGATAGAGCAATAAGCAGGTATTTTTCCTCTATTTCTTTCCTCCTGTATTAATTTTTATTTCTGTGTTCCCATCTGTTGTCCATTGTAAATATTAATTTAACTCTGCCTTCAGTCCCCATGTTTCACTGGCTTATCTGTCCTTTTCTGTTGATTCATTTCCATTCCCATTTTTTTCTTTATTTCATTCAACCTTCGCTACTGGTTTAAATGAATTCAACAAGGTTAAAAGTACAACCCAGAAGTTATTGGAACTCTTTTATGTTTCATCTGAAAATAAAATACTCTAAATCCTGGGAGTCTAACTATTAGAGCACAGCTCAGTAAGTAAATAAAATCCCACTGAAATCAGTGAAGCTTAGTCTTCAGTAGGAAAGATGTATAATTATGGCAGGTACGTTGGCTCCACCACTGTAGGAACACTGCTGGTGGAAGTGAAGGCAAGTTGAGAACATTTCCATAGAATCATTAGAGTTGGAAGAGACCTCGAGCCATCCAGTCCAACCTCCTGCCATGCAGGAATACACTTATCAAAGTACTCCCAGCAGGTAGCCATCCAGCCTCTGTTTAAAAACCTCTAAACAAGGAGACTCCACCACTCTCCATGGTAGTGTATTCCACTGTTGAACAGTTCTTACTGTCAGGAAGTTCTCCTAAAGTTAAGGTGGAATCTCTTTTCCTGTTGTTTGCATCCATTGCTCTGTGTCCTAGTCTCTGGAGAAGCAGGAAACAATCTTGCTTCATCCCTGGAATATCACCCTGCTCTGGATATGCTCCAGAGAAACATCTTGAATTATGGTGCCCAGAATTGGACATGGTATTCTAGGTGAAGTCTGACCAAAGCATAATACAGTGGCACTGTTACTTCCCTTGACCTAAAGACTACATTCTTATTGATGCAGCCTAGGATCATGTTGACTTTTTTTAGCTGCTGCATTGCACTGTTGACTCATGCAGATGCAGTAGTGGTAAAAAATAGAATCAGAAAGGCAGGAGTGGCTGCCACAAGAGCCAATGGTGAGCTGTTAGCCCCCTATTTCTCAATGTGTGGCTGCCTGGATAAAAGATCCTTGATGCCAAGGCATTCTGGGAGACATGACAATAGCTTGTGAAACAGGACAGGTAATAGGTTTAGTCATCTTTCCCAGAGTGCCTCGGCATCAAGGATCTTTTATCCAAGCAGCCAAGTGCCATGGCTCCAAAGAATCCCCCGCTCCCCAAGCCAGGCATTTGAAAACAAGTGGTTTAGAGCCAGCAGCTTCCTATTCCTATGGCTGCTGCTCTCTTTTTCTTTTCTCCTTTGTGCTGCTTGCACCTCCTGTGGTTCCTGAAATCAGTAACTCCTATGTTCTAGTGAATGGTAACTTCTACTAGATGCAGCACCATATGTCCTGTGCAAGGATGCTCCTTGGTGATCTGTTCTTAATTGTCAAGACTGTCTTTATTACACTGTTACAATAGTTTGATACCACTTTAACTGTCTTCATCCTTTGAAATGCTAGAACTTGTTTGGTGAGGAATAGAATTCTCTGCTTCTAGAAAGATCAAGTGCTTTAGTGCATGGGAATTCAGAAGATTCTAAGTATATTGAACTACAAATTCCAGGATTTCATAGGATGGAGCCATGACAGTTGAACTAATGCTACTGTAGCTATCATTGTGTGTGTGTGTGTGTGTGTGTGTATATGTATATATATATATATGTATGTATGTATCTAAATCCTTTCCTTCATGTACTACTGTCACAACTGTCAAAGAAGTATTTCCTTGTGTCATTAGCAATAAGAGCTGCATATATTTTAAATGTATGCCACAATTTACCATTTATTGCCTAGGACCAAAACATATTGACAATACTTCTCATTTTTAAAAGTCTGATAATTTTAAACAAATCATTACTGTTAATATAGACCAATGAGAACAAAAAGAGAATCTTATCTAGAAATGAGAGTCTTTTAAGGGAGGAATATCAATACAAGGATTTTAAAAAGAAATATGATATTATAGCAACCCCTTACCTTTAATATGCATTTAAGAAGGTGGATAGAGTGAATGGTACATATTCCTGACACCTTTCTAATGAAGTCATTTTTAACATGCAATTATTAAGTCTATCTGAACAGAAAGGACAGTGATGTTGTCAGTAATTGATTGCCCTGACAGAAAACTGCTAAAAATCCAGCTCAGCTAATATTTAAAAGGCAGAAATTTTCAGATACTTTTCCATATGAGCCTGAAGTGTATATACAATTCTGTGTATATGTGTATTCTGTGCCTTCAAGTCGTTTCCGACTTATGGCGACCCTATGGTGACTCTATCATGGAGTTTTCTAGGCATGTTTCTTGGGGTGGGTGTTTGCCATTGCCTTCCTCTGAGGCTGAGATAGTGTGACTTGCCCAAAGTCACCCAGTGGGTTTCATGGCCAAGCTGGAATTCGAACCCTGGTCTCCAAAATCATAGTCCAGTGTTCAAACCACTACACCACACTGGCTCTAAACACACTTATTGTGAAGGTAGGCTCTATTGAAATCCCTGTAAATGTGTTTAGGAGTAACAGGGTACTTATTTTTAAGGTAAGCTGAGTTTCTGTACCAAGTTTCTATTTTATAAAAATATATATATTTACATTGCTTCATCAACAAACTATCATTAAAAGAAAAGGATAACTTATCTACTGAGAAGGGAAATGCACACACACATATCTTCATTAGTGTCAGAAAGGTTCAAGTAACCTTATTTTCCTGTGTATAAGACTACTTTTTAACCTGCAAAATCTGTTGTTAAAGTGGGGGGGTTGTCTTATACGCTGGGTATAAAGACAAGGAGGATAGAGGTGCTAAAACTCTATATTTTGACTGGAAAAATGGGGGGGCGTCTTATACGCCGGATCGTCTTATACGCCGGAAAATACGGGTAGTCTGGAAGCCATGCCCTGAGTCTGCAAGAGCCAAGCAGGGCTGTTGATGAAAAGGTGACTTGGAGGTTTCTTGTTCATAGGGTCACCATAACACATAGTGTTGACTTGAGGGCAATTAACAAGAATAAAACAATAACTCAAAAGTAGGGTTTCCCAAACATACAGTTGGGCCTCTGTTTTCATGGGGAATATGTTCCAGACCCTTCCACGAAAATGGAGACTCACCAATATTCAAGCCCCATTGGCTTGAATGGGGCATGCTCTTGCAGGCGTGCGACTGCAGGTACACACCCCATTGATTTCAACAAAAGGTCACTGCTCTATGAATATGCAAAACCATGGACTTCAAGTCCGCGAGAACGGAGGGGCAATTGTGTATGCAGAATATTGAAGAAGAGGAGCGACCAGAACCAAAAATATTGGGAAGGCCTATGTGAAGTGAGAAGCTGGACAAGCCTAGTCAGAACCAGTGAATTGCAGCTCATGAAATGGAAATATAACCTAGAGGCTTGTCTGTTAAAGTCTGTTAAATAAGGCAGTCAGAGAGAGAGTGAAGACCAGTTAGGAAGAGAGAGGAGTTGGTAAAATCCTGTTGTTATTGTTATTTCTTATATTCCAACTTGTTCCCAATATAGGGACTGAAGGTGGCTAACAGCAAATTTAACAATTCAATTTAAAAACAGTTCATTAACAAAAGTATAAATATAAAGCTTAAAAACAAACAATTGTAAAAGTTAAAACAATTGCACATTAAAATATTAAAATGTATTAAAAACGATATCCAAACCTTGATTGGAATTGCACAGCATTTAAAAGCCCAATCCTCATTAGTTTAAAAAGCCTGCATAAAAACAAGTTTTTTGTTTGTTTGTTTTTTAGCTGAGATGTGGGAAAGAGTTCAGGCATTTATGTTTAACTTGTTATATAATAAATCTCTGCTGGTTTCATTTTCTACATCTCTGTGAATGTTTGATTTTGATAATAGTTAAGGAAGACTGGCCATCCTTTACTACACTGAACTCACTGATCAGCACAGCCACTTGTCCAAAACAGCAGTCACCTTGAAGCCCAAATACTAGATCCAGTGAGGGGTCTTGAAGTAGACAAGCAAAGTGAGGGATAAGAGTCCAAAGGTGGGAATGGCAGAGCTAACCTGGAGAAAAATTTGATCAGAGCCCCTTTGTGTGTGTGCACTAACTTTTGGGTACATATCTCCCCAGGACCCATAAGAGGGGGGTTCAGATGGTACCTCAGTCTGGGACCTGGAGAGCCAGGCAGGGTCTGTAAATTCCTGTTTGCCCTCCCCCTCACCACTTCACAGCCCCTTCCACTGCGTTATTTTACAAAGGTTACCAAACATGTAGCTCTTTGGCTCCATCCACACAGCAGAAATAGTCCAGTTTGACAACACTTTAATTGTCATGTCTCAATGCTATGGAATTCTGTAAATTGTAGTGTGTTGTAGTACCCAAGCTCTTACAAATGCCTCACAGTTCCCAGAATTCCATAGCACAGAGCCATGGCAGATAAAGTGGTGTCAAACTGGATTATTTCTACAGTGCAATGTGGCCTTTAGGTATTTTCTTGGCTTTTCATCAAGACCTGTCTATTAGCACACCTATCTCCTGCTGACCTTTATGATGAAGATTTTACAATAGAATTTTGACATGCACCATCAATACATACAGCAAATTTTGAGAAACCAAAACTGAAACCTTTAAAAGTGCTAAATATATTAACTGACTACAAACCTGGTGAGATATTTTCAAATGTTTGTGTTAGTTTGAGAGTATTGTTGACAATTTCAATTACAATAGTATTAGCCAAAAGATCTTCTAGATCTTCTAGCAAACTCTTGAAAACTCTTAAAGGTCTACTGTGGGCCTTTGCAGACTGCCAGAAATAGTGCAAAATGAGTCCACACTAACTGCCCTGACTCAGTGCTAGGGGATCATGGGAACTGTAGTTTATTGTGGTACCAGAGCTCTCTGACAGAGAAGGCTCAAATACAATTCCCATGATTCCCTAGCACTGAGCCAGGGCAGTTAAAGTGGAATCAATTTGCACTATTTCTAGCAGTCTGCAAAGACCATCTCAAATCTGATTTGTTGATTTAGTATTGAATCAAACATTGTTAGAGAAATTGATTTTGATAGTGTTATTAGAAATTTTGCAGGGGAAAAAAGCAGTTTATTACTTGATTAGGCTATTGTTGCTTTTTAGAAAGTGTAAAGTATATTATCATCTGTTCATTCTGATGGACAGGGAATAAAGCATCTACGAAGTTTACCAGTGGTCATATTCAGATAGTAAGATATTAGCTATCATGTTCAATTATACTTTCTTAATCATACACCAAAAGCTGTCTACTTTGTTCATATTTTACCATAACCATATTTTTCTACCAAGAAATAAAAACTGCGACTTCAATTTTTCATGTCATCCCATTATCTTTATTGAATAGATTTAATTGAGGATTTAAAGCTCATTTGGACCTTTAATCTTTGAGAGGAACCCCTCCTCCCCGGGCCCAAAAGCAGCTTTGTTCCATCTTGCAAAATTTCTCATGGAAGCTCTGGCTCACCATGCCTTCTTTCCCTTTGCCTCCCTCTATGCAAGTGAATGAACCATTTTCTTCCTTTGTTTGCAGAGGGAGAGAGGATGCTATCCTTCAGAAAAGGGTCTGGAGGTGGAGGAAAGCCCACTC